CAACTCCCACTTTTTTTGTTGGCCGTTTTCTAATAAAAACTACCCACTCAAATTTGCCAATTATTTTTATAAAGAAAAAAGAAAAATTAAAACAAAGAAAACAGTGTCCTAAACCTCATGACTGATCGTGTCCTAAACGTGGGCTTCCCACGAAAATCCCTATTTTATCTACATCTCTCATAATTGTTGATTTATAAGCTTTATTATTTCAAATCCTTTTCAAATCTCTATTTTATCTACTCATCTGATTACTACAACAGCTTTGCAAATATGGCTACACAAGTTCATTAAATCAGACAAATTTCAAGCAACTCGATGCAATTGAATCTCAAAGTTAGAGTCGTTCGAATGTGGGAAATTCTGGATCGATTCAAGCCTGAAATATCATATTCCATGTAATTGGTTATACATGGTTCAAAGGTAACATATTCAACTTTCACATAGTTTTAAAGTTCCGCTTCTCTGTAGTATTTCTGTTTCTGAAAGTAAGATTAACAATTCTGTATAAATTACAGGAAAATCAACATTTTTTTCCGTATTCTAAAGTATTTGCTAAGACTTATATAAACTTTCTTTTTTCCCCATAGCATCAATTATCTAAGAAGTTGCTCCAGTAATTTCAATTCTTTATAAATTGTTCTTTAAGTGATATGGAATGAACTATAGCAACCAAGGGCGTACGCATGATTTTTCGTAAGCGGTATCGACATTTAAAGAAATGAACAAATAAAATATACATCAGTGTAACAATACGCATTAAAATAATAAATTCGAATCTTATTAAAAAAAATTAATCAACTATGTTACTACAACCCTCCTCGACATGTTTTATTTTTTTTGAAATATATTCAGAATATACTTACTAGAAATAATATTAAATATTACCTTTTCTATATATAACACTAAATAATCACTTAAAACTCTTTCATTATTTGACTTGCAAATTGGTTTGAACCAATTTCATCGCCGCCCAATATAAAGATAGAAAGAAAAAGAAATAGTAAGACAACTTAGCATAGAACCTACGAAAAATTATTGTTAATGCGGCCCAAGCTCTAGTGTGGTCCACTAGTTTAGTTTATCCTTACCAGCTAAGGGGTCAAGGGTTGCACCTTCGATGCCACATTCTTAAGCAGAAAAGGCATCAAAAAAGTTACTCAGTTTTAAGCACGTCATGAAAAACTGTTGATATTCGAACCCAAGACTTCACCAAGGAACGTGAAGCGCATGACCAAAAGAGCTAGCGAGATATATGTGTAAACCAGTGTCCATTTTTTTATTAATACATTTATTTGTACATATTAATAATTTACACATATTCAGTAAACTTTTTCGGCGAAGCGGTGTCGGATGACACCGCTTACACCGAGGTAAATCCGCCCCTGATAGCAACTATTATCATTCAAGCACAATTGTCCCAGTAGTTTTTAAAAAATTTGAGTTTCTTGAAAAAGATTTTTTACGCTTATAACGATTATAACTCGGGACATACAATTAAGGTAGAAACAAAAGTAAATCCACCGGCACTTAGATCGCAAAGATTGGTGTATTGTAATATAGAGTCCATTATATTTGACCTGTATAGTGCAAATAATATTTTACTTTAACCAAGTTAATAAAAATATTATTTGACTAAAACTATAGTTCTGAGAATATGTACTGATATTCAAACTTGGACATGGTGGTTAAATTATTACTGATTGTGGTTTTTTAGTTGAAAAAAAATAAAATGCATGACATATAACTTGATCATTTGATAGGCGATGATGAGCGTGAAAAAATACAAATTACCAAAGTTTACTTTGTCATTCACATGATGGGGAAAACTTTAACCAGTTATGTCCTGATTATGTCGGACATAAAATTTACCTATATTGAATCTTTGCACTTAATAAGATTCATTATGTTCAAAATAAATATCTGACAAATATTAGATATGGTCGCCTTGCTTAGACTATCGTCGAAAGTGTGTTATTAAGTTCTTTCTGATGAATATACAGAAATTTGGCTTATATATGAAATATGTGTAGTACAACTAGTTCTCTTTTGGTCTCTTAAAGTTGGCTTCACAATTGTGCACTAACATGGAATTTGATTTTCTATGGTGATCGTATACATGCCTCAATCGAGAAGTATGTTATTAAGTTTTTAGAAACAAGATACAGGAATTTGGCTTAAATCGTATGAACTACTTTTTCTTACTTTGGCAGGAAAACTATGATCAAAGTCACCAGTTCATTAATGATGCCTTCTCCATTTAGTGCTCGAGTTGTTAATGTGATCTCACGTCTGGGATGACTTAATGACATACGGAATGTAAGTGCGTTATAGTTCCTTTTCATTCCGATTATTTTTCTCGCCCTTCGTGTAATTGATTTATAAATTAATATTTCCCTAATATAAAGAAGTTTGGTTTCAGTTCCAGCTCAATAGTTTCGAAAAACAAGTGAACTAACTCTCAAACAAATCAAAGAGTTGAAGAATGTAGGAACTAATGACGGTTCCTCAACAATGGTGTCATCACCCTTTCTATCCATGGAGCCAGCTGCTCCAGCTGCTTATTCCTCTGTCCAGGACCTGAGGAAAGTTCTTTTGAGTGAAGAACAAGGCATGTATGAATGTTATGTTGCTCTTTTTGCACAGTAGAACAATAGTAGATAAGAAGTAATTATCGCAATTACTGGATCTGTAAGTTCAAAGACTACTTTAGTAAACCATGAGGTTGATTATGTATTGGGTCAATTACATACTAAAAACGCTACAAATGCACTATCCAAGACTCTTAAAGATGTCAATAAGCATCCAATTGTTAGACATGAAGCAAATTGTTGGTTCTCATTGCACACCCAAACATAGATCTTGAATAACTACAATTTATGTGTTGTATTTGCCCATTTGGTGTTGATGTCAAAGGCCAATTTCTCTCCAGCCTCAGGTATGATAAACATAATTTACTGCTAATTCTGCACCTATATATGGATAAACCTTAAACTCAAATTAATGATTTATGCTGCTGCATTGGAATTTTCTTCTGTGTACTTCACATTCATTTGACCACTAATTAAATGAGGGAAAGTAGATAGTGATTATCTTGATACGAGTGAAAGTTTCCAACCTTGAAAGCAAAGTTATCGGCCTATACTTTTCAGCTAACTGGTATCCATCATGTACAAAGTTTACAGACCTGTTAATCAATATACACTAATAACTTAAAGATCATAGCAATCCTAATTTTGAAATCGTCTTTGTTTCTTCTGATGAAGACTTTGATGCATTTAACACTTATAAGTCATTGATGCCTTGGCTTGCAATTCCATTCTTTGACTTGGAGTCAAGAAGATCCCTTACCCGAAAATTTGATGTCGAAGGTATCCCTTGCTTGATGTAATTACGTTATAAAATAATATTTCACTTATACAAAGAAGTTTGACTTCAAATCCAGCTAAATAGTTCCAACAAACATGTGAAGTAGTTCTCATTTAAATCACTGAGTTGACGAATATAGAGAATTACGATGACTTTTGAACAATGGTGTCGTCACTCTTTATGTTTGTATATTCAACTGCTCCTGATTCTTATTCCTCTATCAAGGACATGACAAAAGTTCTTTTGAGTTAAAAATATGGTATATATGAATGCTATGTTCTTCTTTGTGCATTACAGATTAATGGAGGAGAAGAATCTATTTATGCGATTATTTAATCTGTAGGTTCAAAGATTGCTCTATTAAAACATGAGGTTGCTTATGTAGTTGGTCAATAACAGAATAAAAAGATTTCAGATGCTTATCTTTTTGGACTACAAAATAATGGAGGAGAACAAGCTATTTCTATAATTACTGAATATTTAGGTTCAAAGAGTGGTATATTAAAGCATGAGCTGGCTTATGTATTGAGTCAATTGCAGACCAAAATAGTTTCAGTTGCACTGTCCATGACTAAAGATGTCCATGAGCATGAAATGATTAGACATGAAACACCCGAAGCTCATTGTTCTATATCAGATGCTCAACTTTATTTGGTTTTCTCTTGCAATGGTTTGGAGTTTTAGCATTTGGGTGATAGACACTATTTTTCTAGCGAACCTTCCAAGATTTACTTATTTTGTCATGTAGAATTTGTTACATTTAATTAAGAAAAACGGTAGTTTTTCCATGCAGAGCTACATCAGCGACATCATACGTTATTATAGGATAATTCAAGACTTGTGTGATCCTACTTGGGGAATATTTCCTATTTGATTCAAATGCTTACTTTCGTTAAAAATCCAACTGATGAGATTTCTTATGGTTATGGACGCCTACAATTGATAAATAATGATACTCAAACTCCGATGCCTAATATATTGCACTTCTTGTAGATTGTGACAATGATTATGAACCTATTATTTCACAAAGTTGAGAAGTTGTTGTTACCGTGCTTGAATTCGAGAAATCAGGCAATTCATTTGAGCTTCTCTTCATGTAGATATCCGGGTTGTGAAACTGTACCATGTGACTAATTTGAGGTTGCATTTAAGATATTTGTGTTTTTCAATCAAAGTAATTTTGTTTCTTAAGAAGTTTAAGAATTTCTCACACCTTAATAGTATTACTTCTTATTTCTCAGGCAGAATTGTGGTGACAATACAAAGTTGTACTCTCAATTGAAAACTCAGTTGGTGGGAGCATCCACCGTAACTACGATTTACTCCTCCGGCGTAGGCTAGATATTGTGGGAGTGAACTAATTAATGGGTTGTTTGATTGATCATATTAATGTCTTACAATAAAAAATTACCAATCATCTAAGGTTATATTTTTTTTTTTTTTTTTTTACGAATGTTGTCCTCGCTAACTTTTAACAAGAAGATAAATGTGTTCATTTGTGACTCGAATGTATGAATATTCAGTGCATTTATATATTCATAAAATAATTCCATTGCATCTTCGTGTCTATTGTATTTTCCAAGTTATATCTTTTTATAAAAATTATATTTAATATTTCTACTAACCTATTATAGCAATTTCAAAAGAAAAAAGAAGCCAAAACCCTGAGATCTCGCCCTTAATCGTCAGACTAGCGAGAAGCAAGAACATAGGTTTTTCCCAGTGAAAAACACGAGGGTTTTGCCCGCAAAGATTTTCTGTCTCTCACACATTTAAGTATAACTCCCTCTCTCTCTCGCACTCACACACACACTGTAATTGTTGTTTGTAGCTGTAATTGATTTATTTATAGTTCACAAATAAAATGGTTTTGGAGGATTCATATTGCCAATTTCAGACTATTTGATTTATTTGTAGCTCACCATTTTTTTTTCTGATTTCTATAAATTGTCCTTGTTTAGTGGTGCATTTTATATGGATTTCCTTGAAAAATGTTGTATCTTGAGAAGTTATTTTTGGATCATTTTTTAGTATTTGGTTGGATATAGAAGTAGGTGACTTATGGTATTCCTATAAACTACTAGCATGGGCGGAGCTAAATTGAAGAAAAGGCAGGGGGGGGGGGGGTTCAATTGAATCCCTTTGTCGAAAAATTACAGTATGCTAATACGGCAGAAACTAACTATTTTTTTGTTATATTTAAACTGTTGAACCCACTTGACATGAGTAAAAATTCTAGTGAAGTGGCAAAGGATTCAAAAAATTTCCTTAGATCATAGGTTCCAATTTCAGGCATGACAATCTAGTTTTTTTTTGGGGTTGAGAAAGTAACATAACAATCTAGTAATTTTTGAATCCCCTTGTATGAAATCCTGGCTCCACCACTACTATTACGCGGAAACTAGAGGATAGGGTGTGATGGTGGTGTTTGGTAGTAGTTTTTAGTGTTTGCTTGGTAGCAATATCTAATTGTTGGTTGAATCAAATGATATGAAGTAAGGATTGAGGCTTGAGATATTTGTAAAGAAAATAATTTCCACTAGTAAGCTGCAATGTAAGTTGTTTTCTCCTATTTGCTGGATAATGTTGTCCTTGGAGAATACAATTTCTCGATTTTGAGGTAAGAAAATTATGTAAAAGGATTTCGTCAAGGAAAACATTGATGGCTGAATAGTTAAAGCACCCAACTCATTATTGTCGACTTCGTAGGGTTCTCGTCTAAATTGTTTGCTTTATCTTAGTCTTCCACACTCTTTGTTGCCTTCGTGTAGTCAATGGGCTTTTGTTGGTCTGTAAAGTTTTTCTTTCTGTTCGTGTCAAATTGTCCTTCTCTTATTCTTATATCTTTTAATTTGACAACATTTTAAGGGAGTTTCCCTTGTGGAAAGATTCTATTCATCAAGTTACCTACAAAAGAGAAAAGGAGTGTATTCTACTCTTCAAGTTTGTTACCAATCTCAGTGATTACAAATTGTTTTTTCGATCTAACAAAAATTAGTTAAGAACTCTGTCTATGTGAGTTTTGGATAGCTGGTCTGAGCTAAAATGAAGGAGGAGGGTTGCAGCAAGTTGACATGCAACGGAAATATTAATCATAATATGATGAATCTCTAAAGATTTTATAAGGAGGATTCACACAACCTACAACCACTAGTTTGGAATCGAGGTTTAGTTGATCAAACAATGTTTAGGACAACTTCTGCATAGATCTTGCTGTCTTTTTGTTTTTTGGTCACTCAGAGAGGTTGCTACTTCAAAAACGGAATCTGAAATTAACTCATGAATTATTCAGTATCTTGATTACGCCAGAAGTAGAGAACACCTATTTCTGTTATTTACCTCTTCAGAGCTGGAAACGTTATCCAAAAATTCTTTGGAATCCATCGGATGCTGATCTGTCGGAGATGANCTGAGCCTAAATGAAGGAGGAGGGTTGCAACAAGTTGACATGCAACATAAATGTTAGTCATAATATGTTGAATCTCTAAAGATTATATAAGAGGAGTCATAGAACATACTACCACTAGTTTTGGATCGAGGTTTAGTTGAAGACAATGTTTAGGAAAACTTCTGCATAGATCTTGCTGTCTTTTCTTTTTCTTTTTTGTCTAGATGTCACTCAGAGAGGTTGCTACTTCAAAAACGGAATCCATATCTGTCGGAGATGATTTTTCTTTCAGGATAGGAAAACTAAATGTTGGCCAGAGGCAGAAAAGTTGCTGGGAAGGGGGAGACAGTGGCTGCACATTATGCTTTTGGCCCACTTGAAGATGATTTTATTATTAAGCATAGACTTCTTACTCGCACAACAACCACTAGAGGTGAACCGCCGCTGAAGAAACTTCAGAAAAAGTTTACTGCTTTTGCTTCGGAGGTAGAGAAGGAAGCTGATAACTATGGCGATTGTGAAAAACTTGCCAAAGCTTTTTTGCAAGAGCTAAATACATTTGAGATCCCGCTCCTAAAGAGCAAAGCAGTCATAGATGCAAACCTTAGGGAGAAGGAGAATTTCAATGGCCTGAAAGATGAGATAAATGGACAAATATTACAAGCTCAGGCCGATATAGAAGATCTCAAGAGGCAACTTGAAGAAAGCAAGATAGAGAGGCAGCATAAAGAAGAATGCGAGGCCATCAGGAAGTTGGTCGCGATGCAGCCTCCAAGATCTGAAACTCAGAAGGATATTACAGATCTTGAGAAAGAGATAGCCATGTTGGAGGCAGAGAATACTGCTAGTTCAAGAATGTTGGAGCTTCGTAAAAAGCAATTTGCGCTTCTATTACACGTGGTACGTATCTTTCTATAAAAACCATCTAGTTTGTTCTGTTGACTTTTCACTGGAATTCATGAATAGCTTCTATTTGATTATAGTAGCTAAAGACTGTAGGAATTAGAGATAACTGACATAATCCACTGACCAACAGGTCCACAACATCTTTAGAGAATTGCAGGATAATTCTCCTTCAATAAGCTTTTCTCTTCGGCATTTACATTTCACATTCGTAAATTTGTACTTTAAACCTGTAAAATCGGAAAGAGACTCTCTCTTGACCTGACTTTCCCTAGTGGCTTTGACTGCGGTTATTTTTGGTATTACCGTCAACTCTCTAATTGCTGCTAAAGTGATGGTAAAACTCTATTGAATTTATAAGGAAAGGTAACCATCAACAGTAGGCGAAAATCCCAGGCTTTTCAAAGTTTTCTTTATTTGCTTCTAGTACTGTTTATCTTTATTCAGCATATCCTGAAATCCTCTGAAATTTAGCCAGTTGCTCTCATCATTGCCTTAGCATTCTAGTTTTCTGACCTAAAAGGCGATCACAATCTTTTTTTTTTCTTTTTTGTAAAACAGTTGCATTTCTCTATCTATTTAAATCATCAAATGTTAGTATATCTCAACGATGTTTCGTGAAATTTATGTAAGACTGACTGGGAAACTTGGTGTTAAGTATTTTTGTTTGATTAATAATTCTGAAGAGACTATCCTAAATTTTAATTTCTTAAGTTGGTTATTATCTTTCCATTACCCTTGGCATTATTGGGGGTATATACAGTTTCAAGTTACATGATCTGAATGTTCATGAAGGGTTTCTTAACTTGAACATGACTACAAGATAAGAAGAAACAGCCTATACAGCATCCTTGCTGATTCTTGTGGCAGAATTAGTGATTATGGAAGAGAAAATAATTGATTTTCCTTTGTTTCCTTTTGACTTCCTTCATCTTATACGAGCATTTTTTTGACAATGAGAAGACATGCTACCAAATGCATCTTATTCCACTTCACCTCTTGTAGTGCTTTGCCAACAATGTACAACAACAACAACGATCCAGTATAATCCCACAAGTGGGGTCTGGGGAGGGTAGTGTGTACGCAGACCTTAACTCTACCCCAATGGGGTAGAGAGGTTGTTTCCGATAGACACTCCGCTCAAGAAGGCGAAAAGACGAAAAGAGATAATATATCAGTACCATCACCAAAAAACCATGGAAATAATAACATCACAAGAACCAGTGAATAGATGGAAAGCAGAAATAATAACTAGTTAATAAGGCCCGACACTATGAAAACGGAGTAGTGTAAACACAACACTGACCACGAGCAGTCTAAGACTAAATCCTATCAGCCTAGCCTCATACTAGTAGACGAAATATGCTCAACTACCTCCTAACCTATACCTTAATGATTGACCTCCACAGCTTCCTGTCGAGAGCCATGTTCTCAGAGATCTGAAACCTCGCTATATCCTGCCTGATCACCTCTTCCCAATACTTCTTAGGCCGCCCTCTATGTCTCCTCGCGTCCACCATCGCCAACCGCTCACACCTCCATACCGGGGCATCCAAGCTCCTCTTTTGGACGTGCCCAAATCATCTGAGCTCGCTTCTCGCATCTTGTCATCAATAGGAGCCATGCCCACCTTCTTCCGAATATCTTCATTCCTAATCTTATCCATCCTAGTGTGCCGGCACATCCACCTCAACATCCTCATTTCTGCTACTTTTATCTTCTGGTTATGTGAGTTCTTAACTGGCCAACACTCATCTGCATACAATATGGCCGGCCTAACCACCGCTCTATAAAACTTACCTTTGAGTAGCTGTGACACTTTCTTGTCACACAGGACTCCAGATGCTAACCTCCATTTCATCCGCCCCACCCCTATACGGTGTGTGACATTCTCGTCGATCTCCCCATCCCCCTGGATAACCGACACAAGGTAATTGAAACCGCCTCTCTTGGAAATGACCTGCAATCCAAGCCTCACGTCCATGCCCGCTTCCCTCGGCTCGACACTGAACTTGCACTCAAGATATTCCGTCTTCGTCCTGCTCAATTTGAAACCCTTAGACTTAAGGGGCTGTCTCCAAACCTCCAGCCTCTCGTTAGCGCCACTCCGCGTCTCGTCAATCAGAACAATGTCATCAGCGAATAACATACACCATAGCACCTCTTGCATAACCCTTTGCCAACAATGTGGTCTTGCATAATATAAGCTACTCAAAGAATGGACTTTAAGATTACTAATTGGCGGTAAGAGATCTCCTCCGCATCAAAAAGTCGTGGTAACTGGTAAGACATAAAATAGTTTCCTATAACCATAGGTCCACACCAGTAATTTGCATTGAGCCCGTACTTGTTCATCCTAATTATGGATGAGATAACTAACAATATACAAGATAAGATCCTATGGTATAAGCTATTTGCAGAAGACATTTCTGATATGAAATTAGCAAGGGTGTTAAGTGACTAAAAGTTTGAACTACAGAGAAGAACGCTAAAAAATTAGGTTATTAGAATACGTAAAAGTAAGGCATAATATGTGCATTATTTCTGCCGCGATCCACTAGTTGCGCCGATTCATAAAACAAGATAAAAAAGGAAAGACATAATATATGCATTGCAAGTTTAAATCAGAAGAGTTAACTGAAGTGAGATTAGGAGGGACTACGTCACCACGGTGCCCAGAGTTTGTGCAAGATAAAAGAAAGACATAATATATCCCGTGCAAGTTTAAATCAGATGAGTTTAATTGAATTGAGATTAGGCGGAATTACGGTGCCTAAATACAGACAGTTTTACTTATCTTGGCTTGATGTTCCAGGAGGATATGAAGGTGTGTAATGCATAATTAAAATAGTGGTCGAACTGGAGAAGTGCTATTAGATTATTATGTGATAGGAAGATACAAGCCAAAGTGAAATGCAAGTTTAATAGAAAGTTCTAAAGCTGGTAGTTTTTATGGAAGTGAATATTGAGCCTCTAAGGTCCTATATATCCATAAGATGGGTACCACAGAAATACGGATATTAAGATGGATGTGTAATCATACAAGATTAGAAATAAGTACTCCCTCTATCCCATTTTATGTGGTATGTTTCCTTTTTAGTCTGTCTAAAAATGAATGGCGCCTTTATATATGTAGAAACAATTTAACTTTAAACTTCCATTTTACCTTTAGTGATATGATGTTATAGCCATACATGTCTATGACATGTTTTAGACTACAAGTTTTAAAATTCATTTACTTTTTTCTTAAACTCCGTGTTCAATTAAAAAATGCTACATAAATTGGGGCAGAGAGAGCATATCCGACAGAAGGAGCAAATAGAATACACAGAAAATAAACGAATGAAGATTGCTGAAGATGATTTTGTCCAATATTTGCTAGGAGTATTATGATCTTGTTAAAAATTTGTATGTCAGGAAAAAATGTAGAAAACTTTAAGGGATAGAAGACCTTATTGATTGAATAGTAGCATGAGAAGGGTCTAATGGAGCGAAGTGGATTGCGAGGATTCACATAGTTAATCTCAGCTAGTCTGGAACTAAGCCTTAGTAGTTGTAGTATGGCATTTGGTGGAATAACATTCTCATCAAAATTGAATATTTTTGATAAGTGTAGAGCTACAAATTGACAAAACAAAAAATAAATCCCATTTTGAGAAAACTGCATGGTACCTAATACTGCAATAAAAGAAGTGAACGTTAGTGTGTGTATATATATATATAGAGAGAGATTGCAGTTTATGTCTAGGAGACATTTGAGAGTTTGTGGCCCATCAATTGAATCATCGAAATTATTTCCAATCCCCTTTACCTTTTTTTTTTTTGATTTTGTATTTATCATTTTACTTTGTAAGTTTAGCCTAGCTTATGGTACGTATTGTCCGCTTTGGTCCAATAGACCTAATAGGTTTATCCCTTGGGCTACGCGTAAATTTGTGCTATGCCTGATAAAGCTTTTCACTTTACTCTCCCATTGGGATGTGGGATTCGCCTAAAGTGTCATCTATATCCCTTATTCAAAAGTTTGCCAGCTAGAAGCCTGCCAGTTCTTCTATGACCCGCCCTCGTCGGCCCGCCTCCGTCATGGGCGTCACATACATCTCCCTTACAGATTCAGCGTCCTCGTTGAGGTTTGCCCCACCATCGTACTGAGGGATCATCCAGCTCTAACAGCCTAAGCTCATGGCACGTATTGTCCACTTTGGTCCAACAAACTCCACAGATTTGTCCCTTGGGCTACGCCATCAATCGTGTCCAAAAGCACGCGTACCATGTGAACTTGTGCGATGCTGTATAAAACACTTGACTTTCCTCTCCCACTCTGATTGGAATTCACCTAAGGTGTCATCTGTCCTCCTTCTTTAGAAGCTTATCAGCTAGAAGTCTGCAAGTCCTTCTATGATCCGCCTCGTCGTCCAGCCCTCCGTTATGTGTGTCTCAACCTCCTTTTCTTTTATGTATGTCTATTCTAATATTCTTTTCTTCCTCCTCCCGCCACCTGCGGGGGTGGGGGTGGGGGTGGGGGTGGGGTGGAGATGAGGGTGGGAGTTGGGAGATCTCTTCCCATCTTTGTTTCAGAAATCAGCTATGGTTCTATTTACACTTCGGTTAAACACCTACATACTAGTGGAGGGAGAGCCAACACATAATTAATTAATACAACAACAACATACCCAGTATTATCCCACACCGTGGGGTCTAGGGAGGGTAGTGTGTGTGCAGACCTTACCCCTACCTTGTGAGGAGGATAGAGAGGTTGTTTCCAATAGACCCTCGGCTCGAGAACATAATTAATTAATATAGAACTTAAAACTGAGACCTCATACTCACAGTGCCAAAGGTTGACTTACAGCACTATTAGATCAAGGCCTCCTTTGGCCGTGGAAAGAATCTTATTTTTCCATCCATGCCTTCAGTTTTCCTTTTCTTTAGATTGATGAGCTCAGTGTCTAATGGTTAGAAGGAATACGTTGTAGAATTTGGAAGGGCCTTCATAGCAACCCTTATTGATCATTCTAATTACTGTGATTTTGAGGGACTTAATTCATGTCAAATCTTCTACTGCTGCTCCATCATTGTGAAGGGCTATGCTAAAATTTGATCCCTTCTTCCTCCTATTATCTTCCCGATTCACGCTTTGGTCTTTCACAGTTTCAGACATATTCAACTATTCTCTAATTTATTGCAGCTATTGTAACTTCCAATTACTATAAATTATGTTTCAGTCGAATTTTTCTATCACCAATGATAAGCAACTGATGTGTGATAAGCAGATGACTGGGTCATTGTAAAAGATCGATTGTCAAATTTTCCATGTTTGTAGTAGATAGATAGTTAACGTTTGTATAAGTGCTTAATATTTATATATATTTGAGAACACTTTGATCGGTATAAGTGGATATCTTTTGCTGATGTTCAAACTTCTTCCTTAGGTTGATGAGTTGCAGAACACGATAGAGGAAGAACAGAGGAGTTTGGTTGAAGAGATGAGGAATGCAGTTGATGATCATAATAAGAGTGGGCTGGAGGATGCTACTGGGGGTCCTGGAGCAATGGCTGTGGATTAGTGCATGAATTGCACCTAGACCCCGTAATTATAAGTTTATTCTTTCATACATCATCTATGCGTAGCAATAGATCTCTTAATGCAGTACCTAATATTGGAACTCAAGTCTTCAAGTGATGTAGCTTTTGTATGATGCATATCTTACTTCATATCAAAGGATTTACATCTCAGCATCCATAAACTGCAATACTAATATTGCACAAAAGTACTGGTGTTGGAGAGGCATTTGCTTCTTCGTAACAGTTTCTTTCAGGTTTTAATAGGTTTTCTTTGATTGTCAAACAAAGTTTAGCCCTTTGGAGATTGCTCAGAGTCAAGTCAATGACTTCTGGCAATCTAAGCTTTATCCTTAGAAGTATAGGCTAAGTTGGCTTCATTTTGATTTGGTGCTGTCACCAGGTCACAACCTTGTCCTGTAGTAGAAGATAGTCTGCAGGAATCATGTTTGGTAGGGTCGAGGTGCTGTGAAGGCTTACTTAGGAATTGAGCATGAGAAATAACATATCACATTATGCTGCACATGTAGCTTTAAGCGTTATCTTCTGGCATCTTAGACACCTTTCATCTACATGCACCACATATCTAAGAATGTTAAGATCTTTAAGATTATCAATAGAGAATATTTTATTGTCTTTCTATGTTTCAGTTAATGAGTTCAGTCTTCATTGTTGCAGTTGGCATACTAAGGACAAGACTTTGCCAGATGACAAATAGCTCCTACCAATGGCTGTATTTGAGTATTAAGCATTCTTTTTTCTTGGAAAAGAATTTCCAAACTCCTAGCCTTTTTCAAGGGATGTTGTAAATTTATGTCAACTTTGTATCAGATGCCAAATTTAGAGGTGTAAGTTCAAGGACCTGGCCATTTGGACCTCTAATGTGCCTGAGAATCAGCCTTTACTAATTTTGATTTTTCTTTCAGAATTATGATATCATGTTGATTCCAGTCCTATAAAATATCAATCAATGAGCCCTCTTCTGTCCCCAACCCCTCCCTCACCCAGGGCCCAAACTGTTCTCTTTCTTCCTTTTTGTGATAAAGATGGTATGTGATCAACTTGTGTATGCATTGTGTATATATGGACTATTCTACCTGTTGATTGGTACTTTCAACCAATATAGATACAGAATAACTCTGCCCACCAAGGTTAAGGTAGATCGGAAGAAATTGCCTTGTGTTCATTTATGCAGACCAGAGTCTTGTAATAGCTTTCCGTCATGCTATTTAACAATTTTGCGTTTCTATGATACTGTAGAAATGCAGTACACATTACCAGCCTCACTTGTGAGATTACACTGAGTTTGTTGTTGTTGTTGTTGTTGTTGTTGTTGTTGTATGATAGTGTAGAAATGCTGGATATGACAGTTTTTTTTTTTTAATGTACTCTGATTTTGACATGCACAAATTGGTGTGGCTAAAACGAAAGATGGATTAAATTCTGATGGAGAACAGTCACCCTGACATCTCAGTTAGTTTATTATTGAGGGACCATTCTGATTTTGGTTGTGATGCCACATTCAGTTTTCAAATTTGATTTACTTGTCCACTTCACTTAATTTGAGATAGTCAAAACCTTAAAACATGAAACATGAAAGGATTGACTCAGTCCAACTATAAAAAATTCTAAATGGACTTTAATTAATTAACTTGATTTAAAGCCCAAGTTTTGATCAATTATATAAATAGTGCTTGACCTTCATAGTTTAGAAAATTGTCAGACTTATTGAGGTTGAGTGTCATAGAATAAAGTATTAGATGTAAAATTCATGATGGAAACTGAGGATAGTAAATTTTGGATGGAATGAATAATAAATTCCTCAACAGTCGAGATTGAGGTTTTTTCAAAATGAAAAGGAAAAAAAAAATTAAGAAGTAAGAGGAACCTTGGAATTACAATTAACCACTATTAGAGAAAATTATGATAAGAGCTGCAATCACCAATTAAAACTGATTTCCAAATTAGAGTTGTCCTTATAGAAGAAGAATGCCCCAACTAAGTATAGTGTTTATCTTAACATATCACACTATTGATCATATGTCGGGTAAAACTAATAACTCGAATCCAAAGAATGCTATTGGATTATTGGATTATTGGTTTAGTAACGATTTGATGTTATTTGACTATTGAGTTATCGGTATAGGTCTTGATTTATCCAATATGATTTAACCGATAACCTGATGAGCTTTATCAAAATTATAGTTACATCCTTAAGTATATAAAGCCACCTTAAGGCTTGATTGATTTAAACTTTCTGAATTTCTCATCTTTATTCTTCAATTCATATTTATAGTGTTAAACTTTTAAAGAATTAATTATTTAAATTTTTAGTTTTTTTTATTAACCATGATTCTTTATCATATAAGATTAGGTTTTTACCATTTTTTTTGTAGTCAGTAAATTAGCTTGTTGAATGTATTATTAATTACTCCTACTAACTTATTTAAGAATTGAAATTATTCATTGGAATTTTCACATGCAAAGAAAGTTTTTATTTTCTAAAATTGAAATTTAATCTCTCTTATCTTAAGAACAAAAATTAAGCTCGTTTCTCTTACCAGTATGATCATGGTATCTATTATAAAAATATGAGATTTTTGGATATTTTCGATTCTTGTCGGGTAAATCGATAACCAAACTAATTACTATCAATAACCGATACCCGATAATCGATATCTTATCGGTTTGGTTATCAGTTTAGTATATTTATAAACTGATAACTGATTCGCCAAATCGATAATATTCACGACCGAGCTGAACGGACCGATATCCACCCCTAGTCTTTTCACTTTAAAGTGGAAAAAACATAAACTTATGGCACCAAAGTGTAGTTTTTTCTAATAAGAATGACTTATTGTTTACCTTACCACTAGACATCTTGGCATGTAGTTTGAACTTTGAACTCTTTTCACTTCAAACTTGAATAAACACAAACTTATGGTACCAAAGTGTAGTTTCTTGTAATCAAAATGATTAACTTTGTGAAACTTTCCAATCACCATTTTGGCATGTAGTTGGTGAGAATATATAAAATAAATAAATAAAAAATGCACATAGGAAACACTTTAGTACATATCTACTGTAAAACAGCACATATCTCATCCCCTTTTTGTCCCCTTTCTTCTTTTTAGGGTTCATTTCATTCTCTCTCTCTCACGCTCACTGTTTCCACCTTCAGCTTCAGCTCATCTTCTTGGTAAGAACCCAAATCTCAATTTTAATTTACATAATATTTCATGGGTTTTAATTCAAATTTGCCATCAAGTTGACTTTTTTTTTGGGTGAATTTCTTTGTTTCGGTGTTTTTGATGGGGTTTTTTCTTTCTTCAAGATTTTGTGTTATATGTATGTTATGATTTGATTAAAGTGTAAAGGAGCTAGCTTTATTAGTAATTTGTATGATCGTGAGGATTGAAGATCATAAGAGGGTAGTTTTTGGATGGATTATCTGGTCAGTTACTGTATTGGCTAATAACTTAAATTCTGCTTAGAATATGTATGTTTCCAAAAACCTCTTGGCAAAGGCCTTACTGCACAAAGTTACCCGGTACTTGTGGTCGTGGGAGGTAGCAGGCAGTGGCGAAGCAAGAATTTTTTCCAAAGGTGTTCAGACTTGAAAGACTAAATAAATTTCCCGACAAAGGGTGTTCAATATATGTTATATACATCTAAAGTCAATATTTTAAGACAGAAGAGTGGTCGGTCAATTGACCACCCTTGGCAAAAGGTGGCTTCGCCCCTGTTAGCAGATACCTCGTGGAATTGTCGAGATGTGCACAAGCTGGCTCCTTCCCCTTGAATTTATGCAAAGAGGATGTATCCATTGCTCAAAATCCATGTTCTACGGACCAAGGAGCAACTATACTGTTGCACCGACCATTGAAATATCAGTAAAATTGATAATTGAGGTTTTGAGAATTTGTCACATTAAAACTGGGATGAAGAAGAAAGTTAAATGTTAGTGAAATTGATAATTCTTGTTTTGTAAGAAGTATGCTCAAATTTGTGTTTTCCCTCTTTAAGAAATCTTCGCAAAGAGATCTAAAAAAAANTATGTGGGTGGGGTGGATGGGTTGGATTTAGCAGCTCCGAAAGAAAAAAAGAGAGATCTTTTCAAAAAGGGCTATAGGGGGGAGGGGAATTTTAGGTTTGGAAGGTCTACTATGACGTTTTTTGATGAATGTGATTAACTCATGAGATCACTTTTGGGCATTACCTGATTCTTTACCTGAATCGATTGTCTTATTTCATGTAATGAAATTGGTAATAATCTCTATTATAGTTGAACTGTTAGTTTGTGGATGTAGGATGATCTGCAGCTTGGTTTAAAAGTTTCAAGTTTTGTTCAGGAAACTGCTGATAAGAGATGTCGAGTGGGAGCTACACACACTGGTGCCACAGATGCAGGCAACCAATTCGGCCTCGAGGGGCTAGCTGTCTTTGCCCAAATTGTGGTGGAGGTTTCGTTGAAGAGCTTGATGACATGCTAGGTGCTAGATCTACTATTGAGGATGATCCTCATTTTGGATTAATGGATCCTTTCCCGGACCCAAGATTTGGTATAATGGACGCCCTTGCTCAATTCATGAGGCAGAGAATGGCAGGAAGAAACCCGAACTTTGACATTAGGACAAGATCCGGCATTGTTCCTGGACAAGGAAGGGGTTTCGGTTCTGGTCCATGGTTGATATTTCACGGCCAAACTCCTGTTAGTATGACGGAAAATGATGCATTTGAGTACTTCTTCAATGGAAGTCCGGGAATGGGGCAGCGGCGACCTAATTTAGATGATTTAATGGGGCCTGGGCTGCAACAGTTGATTGAGCAGCTCAGTATTAATGATAGGCAGGGTCCACCCCCGGCACCTCGTTCCGCAATAGATGCTTTGCCTACTGTCAAGATCACACAGAGGCACCTCAACACGGATTCTCAGTGCCCGGTTTGTCAAGATAACTTTGAATTGGGTTCTGAAGCAAGGCAGATGCCATGTAAGCATATTTACCATGCAGATTGTATTGTACCTTGGTTGGTTCGGCACAACTCGTGCCCTGTTTGCCGCCTTGAGCTGCCTTCGCGACCTTCTGGAAGTGCCCCGACCAATTGGAGTTCAAGAACTGGAAACGTTAGCAGTGGCAGCAACAGTAGTAGCCGGGACAATGCCAGTCAGAACCAGGGTAGGAGGAATCCGTTCTCGTTTCTGTGGCCTTTTCGCTCGTCCAACCAAAACACAGGCAATTATGTTGAGAGAGGAGGAAGCAGCTCGACAGCTCCCTACGAGGAGAACAATGAAGCGAATTACCCCACTTGGCGTTTTTAGTTACTAAGTTTTGTTTCCAGCATCTTTGGATTTTGCCTATTTTCAACTATAAATTATCCTTAGATGGAGTGGAAGTGTTTTTACAATTTACTGTACTGTGGGATGGAAGCTGTTCTTGAAAGGTGTATAGGTGGAAAACATCTTGAAATGCTTAAGGGACTTATGTAAATGATGTTCTCAAAATGTCAATGATACATCTACTGTTGACAATAATTTTGCTTTTAGCAGGTATTTGGTGAAATAGTCTATATGGCACAAGTTGGCTCAGACACCACTATGGCACTATTACTAATTTTTTTTTCTTTTTTCTTCTGTTCGTTTATATATGGATTACAGTCTCATCAACTATTAACAACAACAACATACCCAATATGATTCCACTATTAACAAAGTGAGAAAAAGATATATGAATCATAGAGGAGTGGCTCAAGGTTTAATTTGTCACTTATTTTACAAGTATTAAAATTGGAGGAAAATAGAGTGATCCTTATTCCGGTTCAAGGTGTGTACAAGTTGATTCGAATAACCAGATATGTAAAAGAAAATGAAGAGTTTACCAAGACACTCTTCGAATCATTTACTCACCTAAACTTTACGGGTGTCCTAACACCCCACTATT